ATCTTGCTCTATCGCCCAGGCTGAAGTGCAGTGGTGTGATCTCAGCTCACTGCAACCTCTGCGTCCCAGGTTCAAGTGATTCTCCTGCCTCAGCCTCCCGAGGAGCTGGGATTACAGGTGCACGCCACCACGTCCAGCTAATTTTTGTATTTTTAGTAGAGATGGGGTTTTACCATGTTGGCCAGGCTGGTCTAGAACTCCTGACCTCTGGTGAGCCACCTGCCTAGGCCTTCCAAAGTGTTGGGATTACAGGTGTGAGCCGCTGTGCCCGGCCTAAGACCCCATTTCTTAATAACAACAGCAAAAGACCAAGTGCAGTGGCTCATGCCTGCAATCCCAGCACTTTGGGAGGCTGAGGTGGGAGGATCGCTTGGACCCAGGAGTCCAGACCAGCCTAGGTAGCAAAGGGAGACCTCATCTCTATTAAAATTAGCTGGGCATGGTGGTGCCTGTAGTTCCAGTAATTTGGGAGGCTGAGAAGGGAGGATGGCTTGAGCCTAGGAGTTTAAGGCTGCAGTGAGCTTTGGTCACACCACTGCATACCAGCCTGGGCAGCAAGAGCAAGACCCTGTCTCAAAAAAAATAAAAGAAAAAGAAAAAAGGATTTATTGAGCAACTGCTATTTACTAAGCGGCAGTATAGCGTACTGTTAAGGGCACCACAACCAGATGTTAGGGGAGATAAAATCTTCAGACTCATTTACTGTGTGTGATCTTGGACAGGTTACTTAACCTCTCTGTGTCTTAGTTTCCTCCTTTGAAAAATGAAAATTAAATGAGTTAATACAATAAAGTAGAGTAGTAAGCCCTGTATCAGCTGTGGCTGCCGTTGCTGTTGTTACTATTATTATTACCTTTCCAACTTGAAGTGCTGGGTTGTCTCTCTGACCCCTGGAAGTCGGAAGGTTCTGTGGGGGTCCACAGGATTGGCCTCACATGTTATAAAGTTCAGATCTTGGACTCCGCAGTCAACAAACCTGTGTCCAAATACCTGCCCTGCCTCATTTCCTGTGTGACCTTGGGCAAGTTAATATACCTTTCTGAGCCTCACGTGGAAAGCAGGCAGTTTCTGAGCATCTGCTTCATTGGGGAGCTGTGAGGATTAAATGAGATTATGCCAGATGCCTGGTAGGACATGGCTATGTCAATCCTGTCCCTCTTCTACCCCTTCAGGGCTGGGGATAGACAGGCAGGCAGCGCCCAGAGCCTCTAGTTTCCTCCTCTGTCCCCATCCTGGAGCCCCTCCCTTCCCCTGCCCTTTAGGGCCTCAGCAGTGGCTTTTTAGGTGGAGTTGCCTTTGTGGGCAGGATTCTGGCCAACCAGGAACTGGAGAGCCAAGGGCCCTAGGATGGGGTCCCAGGTGGCAGCCAGAACACCCTGGCCTTCTGAGGCCTCCCTGGTTCTGTGCCCATGAGCAATCCTGAGTGAAGTGGACACCTGCACATGCAGAGCTGAATCGTCCTCTCTGGAGCTGATGGATGGGGAGACACACTGACCTACCAGTTTGGATCTGCCAAAGCTCCCTCCTTTTGGGGAACCCATGACCCTCTCCTTCATGGAATTTATCCCATCTCACATCCCCCAGCTCTGAGAGTGACTCTCCCAGAGTTCCCAAATTTCCGGGCTTGGGGCTCTCCCTGACCTCAGACTCTTTCTCTTCCAGGAGGAGTGATGGGCAGACTGAGGCAGAGAGGGTTCTGGAAGGGGGTTTGTCAGGGACTGCTGTATGACTATCATCTAAGCCTAGGGGAAGACAGAAGGGCACCGCTGGACTAGCCTGATTATGAGCAACAGCCACCCCTGGGCAGCCATAGTCGCAACAAGATAGCACTGCCTCAGCCTCCCAAGTACCTGGGATTATAGATGCCCGTGACTGCACCCAGCTAATTTTTTTTTTTTTTTTTTTTTTTTTTTTTTTTTTTTTTTTTTTTTTTTTTAGTAGAGACAGGGTTTCCCCATATTGGCCATGGGTGGCCAGGCTGGTCTTGAACTCCTGACTTCAGGTGATCCACCTGCCTCAGCCTCCCAATGTGCTGGGATTACAGGCATAAGCCACTACACCCAGCCTGCCTGGAACCATCTCTATGGACCTCTCTTTAGTCCCCACCCTCCCCCTCCAGACTCTCCCCATGTCAGTGTACCCTGCAATGCTCATGAACCTGTGTGTAGGGACATTCCTTTGCTCACATGACTCCCAACCTTCATTCATTCATTCAGTCATTCAACAAATAGTGAAACTTGGGGAGCCAGAGTTTACCATGAACAAATGGCGTAAAAGCGTTCATTGAGTGAATACCCATGAGCTGCTCAAGCTCTGCGATGAATGTTTTTGGAAACTGAGGCTGAAGAGGCTGTGCCACTAACTCAAGGTCACCTAGCCAGTCAGTGCCTGAGAATACCTCCCCCACACTGATGGGGGCCACAGGCTTGAAATGCCACTGCCACCATATCTATCCTTGTGGGTCAAGCACTGCCCAGTGCGGACCCCTCTTGTAAGATGCCATCACTCCTGGGAGGTGGAGAGGCCTCCAGTGCGTAAATGGGGCTGTGGATGGTTCCTCTGGGCCGTTTCTCCTGCTGGCGTAACTGGGCTGAGAGGAATTAGAAGGGAGGCTCAGAGCTTTCTCATCTTCTTCCTGGCCCAGGCTCTTATGGGTCCTTCCCCTCTTGGGGTGTGGCAGCCCCGGTTCTGCCTGACTCAAGCCTGCTCTAGGCCACGAGGGATCATCTGACTCACCCTCGAGGGACCAGCCTCTCTGGATGAGACCTGAGCGGGTGTGCAGCCACGTCAGGGTGGCCCGAGGCAGCAGCGGAAGCCAGGCCTGCTTGCCCAGCCCTGGGTCCCCTGGATCCCGGGAACCACTGGGCATTTCCTCTCCCTGCCCCAGAGGTGGCCTCAGCAGGCTTTTTAGGGTGACAGGAGCTGACTTCACCCTCACCAGACCTGCTTTTTTTCCTTAGGGAAGGGTGTGGGTGTGGGCAGAGAGTCCAGGCTTGGAGTCAGGCAGGTGTCACACAGATGCTAGCTTTGCTACCGGCCGGCTTCGTGACCTATGTGCACAGCTGGGTCCTGTCTGTAAAGTGGGAATACTGGTGTGGTGAGGAGGCTGTGCTCTCGGGCATGGAATGAGGGCTCAGCACAGGGCCTGGCACGTAGTAGGCCCAATGAGTGTCAGTTATTGTCACAGTCACACGTAATAGTGGTAGCCCCAGTAGCCGCTCAGTGCCAAGGTGGCTGCTCCCAGAGGCTCAGGGAGGGCTCCATTGTAGAGGCGGGGGCATCTTGCTTAGTTCAGAAAGCTCATCCTCCATTGCAACCCTCAGTGCCCCTGCCTCAGTCTATTCATCTTCAGAGTAGGTCACTGCTTGGCTGGAGGCCTAACGGAGAGCTTGGGGAGAGACACTGTCTCTTTGATCTCCGGGGGAAGGAGAGACTGTGTGGCAGCCCTGCTCACGAAGCACCTCCTCTGCCTCCTCTTGGGGAGCCCATGACCCCCTCCTCTATGAAATCTATCTTCCCTTGCATCCCCCAGCTCTGAGAATGACTCTCCCAGAGTTTCCAAATTTCCCAGCTTGGGGCTCTCCCTGACCTCAGACTCTTTCTTTTCCAGGAGGAGTGATGGGCAGAACCAGCGCTTCCCTCAGGCACTAGACCTTTCACGAGTGAACTTAGTTCCCTCCTATACTGCTTCACTCTACCCTAAGGTGAGTGTCTCCCTCCATACCTATGCCGTATTCTGCCCCCTACCCCCACAAATGCCCAGGGCTGGGAAGGGCCCAAGAATGCCTTTGGGGCAAAGGTAAAATATTCAGGCAGATGCTGATGGTGTTTAGCTCCTAGGGGGATGCCATTCCTGAGCCCTGGGTGAGGCTGGTTCTGTCACAAAGGTTGAACCAGGGTAGACTGCAGACTGTTGCGGGGAGGGGCTTAGGGAGAATCTAAGCGAAACAGCTGGGAATTAACCAGCCCCCAGCTAGGGTTCATCATCTCCACAATCAGCATCACCATCAGTCTCCTCATCTATAAACTGGGTGCAATGAGAGGACCCACTTCACAGGGTCATTGTGAAGATTAATGCAAAGTACAGGCAGGGCAGCCCGGGCACAGCATCTGGCACAGAGCAAGAGCCCTGTCAATGAGCTTGTGTGATTATCATTAAAATCAAACATTTGCCCGGTACCTGCTTCATGCCAAGCCTTGTGCTGGGTGCCAAGGGGCCAGAAACGATCTGATACAGATCCTGCTCTCAAGAGCCACAGTCCAGTAAAGTGATAGATAACTGAACAATGTATGCAGAGCATCACATAGCAGAAGTAACCGCTGATATGTATTGAGACTTACTGTGTGCCAAGGTAGTACTTAATGCTTTGTTTGCAGTATTTCATCTCAGCCTTGAACTATGCAATAGCTACTTTGATCAGTCCCATTTTGCAGGTGAGAATATTGAGGCTCAGAGAGGTTCAGTCACTTCCCCAAAGTCACTCAGGTTGGATGTGGTGGGGCCATGACCGGATGCAAGCTGTCTGACCAGAAGGCCTGGTGTTAGGGCCTCTCTGATACAGGGGTGATAAGCTCTCTCTTTTTTTTTTTTTTTTTAATACCGAGCCTTGCTCTGTTGCCCCAGGCTGGAGTGCAGTGGCGCGATCTAGGCTCACTGCAACTTCTGCCTCCTGAGTTCAAGCAATTATCCTGCCTCAGCCTCCCAAGTAGCTGGGACTATACATGCACGCTGCCACGCCCGGCTAATTTTTTAGATTATTATTTTAGTAGAGACAGGGTTTCACCGTGTTGCCCAGGCTGTTTGCAAACTTCTGAGCTCAAGCAATCCATCCGCCTCTGCCTCCCAAAGTGCTGGGATTACAAGCGTGAGCCACCTTGCCCAGCTGATAAGCTCTCACTTTTGCAGTACTTTTTGCAGTTTCTAAAGCACTTCCACAGATATCATGCCCCCTGGTCCTTGGTGGCACGTAAACCTTGGGTAGCAGTCATTCTCTAGTAGAGGATCCAGGAACTCAGAGAAGTAAAGTGGTCTTCCCAAGGTCACACAGCCAGAAAATAGCAGAGGCAAGATCCAACCAGGTTCCTCCCTGAGCGCTCTGGCCTGGAATAAAGGCCAGGCACCTTGCCTAGGCTGGGAGGGAAGATGGCCGAGGAATGGTGTCCATGTGTGGGTTCACCACCTCCATGGGGGACCACGTGAGTGTGCTGGGAGCAGCAGAAGGAGGTTCCTGAGACTGACTCCCATTTTCTCTGTCTGGGCAGCAGCCCAAGACTGGGCCATGAGGATCTGGGGCTTGGCAGGAAGGGATAGACTCAATGGCAGCCCTCACTTGACAGCTGGGTTCATGAATGAAGCTCCCAGTCCCTTTCCCCCTGAGTATTTCAGGAGGAGGCCTGGGTTCTCACCAAGGGCTGTGTGCCCTTGGACCGTAGCTTCTCCTCCCTGGTCTTCAGTCTTCCCATCAGGAGACAAGAGATAGAGCAGCCCATTGCTCTGGTCCGTGCCTGCTAGACAGCCTGGGGATGGCCTTCTCAGATTATTGAAAAGCTGCCTCCCCTCAGGCTTCCTGGCCTCCACCCAGTCTGGCTAGAAGCCTCCGTTTGTGCCAACACAGCTCAGACAGCGGGCTCCGATCTTCCCCTTCCCGACAGCCCACCCCCACCTCAGAATCAAGGGAGTCTGTGGATCATCCTTCTTTGACAGGAGAGGAAACCAGGGGCTAGAGAGACTGAATGATTCATCTGGGGTCTCCAGCAAGCTAGTGCTGGGCTGAGAGGACCCAGGCCTGTCACACCATCCCCCTCCCCTGGTGCTCCTAGCTCTGTGCACGTTTAAAACATTGATGGCATCTGTCTGAAGGGCAGGTGACCTTCCTCTGGCAGTGGCCAAATCCCTGCCCTTCTCTGGGCCTCAGTTTCCTCAACAGAGGTGACAGTTTCTTCTCTACCCACCTTGCCAGCTTGCAATTGGGTGAAAGTACTTTGGAAAGTAGAAATTAGGAAGCTGAGCTGTTATCAACATCATTACATTCCCAGGGCTGGACGGAGCACCCAGAAGGGACATTCTCCTCCTTCAGGCCCCACATTTGTACAGGCATCCAGCTACCCAGGACCCTCCTACCCTTCCCCCTACAGGAGTTTCTCCACTTGGGGATTCAGAAACCTTCACACATGTACATACACAGCTTACCCACACCTACATACAGGGACATGTCACAGACACAAAACACACAGCCACAGCCACGTGTCTGTAAATATAGTCAGAGACTTGCACATGTATACATGCATGAGGTTCATACGTACAAACACAAATACCCATACCCAGGTATTCCCATACACACAGAAAGGCAGCATGCCCACGTATATACAGCCACATCTGGTCATGGAGTCTCACATGCATGCACACATGGCTGCACGCATATGTGCACACACCTTCCATGCCACCTGGCACGCAGACATCTCCGCTGATATGAGCAGGCCTGCACTCCCCCGGGGGCAGTGTGGGAATGGATATTTCTCTGGCTACATTTCGATGGGTGCCCGGAAGCGCTCAGGACTGGAAGTGGCTGCATAAATCAATATTTGCTGCAGTTAATTATTAAAACCAGAGCTACACCGTGTCTGGAACACATATCTCCAGAGTTCCCACTGGCTCTCCAGGCCCAAACCTGATTGAAGTCCAGGTCTAGGGGGAAAGGGAGGGCACAGTGCTTTCCTTCTAGGAGCCCTTGGCTCTGGGGCTGGAGGGTGGTGGGCAGCCTCTGGCAGCTCTTTCAGGAAGCTGAACAGAGGTATGGCTCTGAGTTGGTGGGCAGCCCTGCCCCCGCAACATCCAAAGCAGCTGTGTCTCCTTGGCCACAGTTCAAGAAGCATTTGCTGTGTTCCCAACATCTGTCTGGAGGAAAGAGTAGCAAGGCCCTGTCCCTGTCCCTGTACAGTGGCTATACCAGGCTAGGGACATACTGCAGGGTCAGCAGGAAGGACCTACAGAAGTGCTATACACACACACACACACACACACACATATTGTGTATATATATATATACAGAATGTATATATACACAATATATATATATATACACAATATATATACTCTATCTCAAAAAAAGAAAAAAAATACACACACACACACACACATATACATATATATATATTTTTTTCTTTTTTTGAGACAGAGTCTTGCTCTGTTGCCCAGGTAGGAGTGCAGTGGCACGATCTCAGCTCACTACAACCTCTGCCTCCCAGGTTCAAGTGATCCTGCTGCCTCAGCCTCCGGAGTAGCTGGGACTACAGGCACCCGCCACCACGCCCAGCTAACTTTTGTATTTTTAGTAGAAACGGGGTTTTACCTTATTGGCCAGCCTGGTCTCGAGCTCCTGACCTTGTGATCTACCCACCTTGGCCTCCCATAGTGTTGGGATTAGAGGTGTAAGCCACCACGCCGGCCAGAGGCCTTATATTTTACAGATGGGGAAACTGAGGTTCAGAGAGGAGGCAGGGACTCACTCAAGGCCACTCAGTAAGTTGTAGCTAGAACCCACATGTTCCGAAATCTACCTGGGCCCTTTCCTCCATAGGATGGGCCTGGCAGCCCCTCCCCAGGTGCTATGGCCATCTCCCCCAGAATCTGAGGCAGCTAGGGCAGGAGGAAGGGACGGAGCAGGCCAGCCACTGTCGGGCCTGGGAAGCAGGGTGAAGGAGAGGAGGAGGAAAGGGAGAGACCCCAAAGAGTGGGCCCAGGCCTTTCCCTGGACTCCAGTTCTGCCTCTTCCTGGCTGTGTGGTCTCGGGCAAGCTATTTCACCTCTTGGAATCGGTTTTCTCATTTCTCAAATGGAGATGACATTTGTACCTCCTGGGCTGTGACGAGATTACGAGACATGTGAAGGGCCCAGAATTAAGTAGATGCTCAAGAAAAGCCTTCTGTCTGCAAGGTAACCCTCTCCTCTTCCTGCCCGGCTTTACGCCGCTCCCAAGAACCCCGTCCTTGATGCCCTGAGGCGGGGTACCTAGAGCCTGGGAAGATAGAGAAGGTGGGTTGGGGGCGGGCTGGGGAGAATCGAGTGGGCCCTCTCCCCCGCCCCCGGGGAGCCCGAGGCACCCAAAGCTTCCAGCGCTCGGGCCGGAGCGCGCAGGCGCAGTGTCCCGGGGCCGCAGGCCGGGCCGCCTCGGGGGGCGTGGCCTCAGCGCCCCCGCCCCGCCCCGCGCCGCCCGTACCTGGCGCCCCGCCCACCCCGGGTCGTGCGGCTGGGCGAGCCCAGCGCTGGTAGCGCCGCCGCCGGGAGCCGAGAGCTTGGAGCTCGGCGCTGCGGGGCCCGGGCCGGGGCGCGAGCGGGCCGGAGCCGGCCGGGCCAGCTGAAGTACCGCCCCGGCGGGGGCCGGGCCGGGCTCGAGATGGCGCAGCCGCGGCCCCCGGCGACCCCCGGCTGTCCGCGGAGGGGCTCGCTGCCCGCGGGGGCCGGCTGGCAGGTGAGGACCCAGGTGGGGCGGCATGGCGGAGGGACCCCGGGGCTGGGTCAGCCGACTGCTGGCGAGCCCGGCCGGCTTTGCCCCAGTCAGGGCGAGCGTGCGAGGCTTCGGTCATGGTGGGCATGTGAGCTTCTGCGCTGACCCCGGCCGCGGGGCGCACCCGTGACCTGAGGTCCCGGACCCTGGGACTCTTGCTTCGGCCTCCCGGGTGGCTCTGGGCTGCAGCGGCAGGGTGTGTGTGGGCGCGTGCTACCGGGACCACTTTACCCTGCCCCTGCCCCTGCCCCTGCCCCTGCCCCGTTTGGGGTGGGCTCTGAATGCTCCAGGGCCACTTTGTGGTGGTGCTGGCATGTGGGGCACCCCACATCTGGGCCCCATCTCTCAGAGCCCTCGCCATGTGTCAGAGCGTCTGCTGCTCCCTGCGAGGCTGTAGCTGTGGGTGTTGCTTGTTGCTGTGTGTACACTCTGGTGACAGGACCATGTGTCAGTGTTTATGTGACTGATTCCTAGTGCAACAAGGCGTATTAGAGTGTTCCTGGCTATGTCTGGTCACCTTGAGTGGGATGTCTTTTTTTTTTTTTTTTTTTTTTTTTTTTTTTTTTTTTTTTTTTTTTTTTTTTTTTTTTTTTTTT